ATATTTTTTCAAACTCTCGAATGTTTTGAGTCCTTAGAGAGCACTCTCACTGGCTTCTCAGTGTCTCCACTCATTTGATTAACTTTCAATCTTGACTTTTAGTACGTAGAATTGGCTTAACCTTCATATAAATACCTCCTTTCGAACTAATATTTTTTCGAATCACATGCCCCTCTGCCAAATCGACAATTTTGAATATTTTTTCAAACTCTCGAATGTTTTGAGTTCTTAGAGAGCACTCTCACTGGCTTCTCAGTGTCTCCACTCATTTGCAAAACTTTCAATATCGACTTTTAGTACGTGAATCTGATAAATCCATCGCATGAATTTATCGCACGGTTGCTTCAAAGCTATATTTTTAACTAGCGACATCTGTCTGCTATTATTGAAACATATATAAAGACAACGAAGACATTTGACAAAGTTTAAAAATTCAAACAGACTTTATGAAACGTCTAAAAATTCAAACAGACTTTATCAATTGGATTCTTCTTTCATTTTTTTACAAATAAAAAACACAAATATAATATGTTCTGTTCTTTTGAGTTTATTTAATATAAAAATCCACATAACAACTTTGACTTTCGGAACACTTTGAACGGAATTTATACATTTCAATGAATGATTTCATATATGTCATTTGTTGCTTCCTATTACATTTAAATGTTTCTTAAATTCATTTTAATTTTTTTAAATCGTTTTGAGAATAGATAATTTAATTCTTTTAAGATTCTACTAAGATCAAAATAGTTAATATAACTATTGTGAATCACAAATTTTCAAAATGAATTGTTACCTTAAAGTTCTGACAGTGAAGCTGTTTTGTGATGTTGAACACGATATGATTTTTAGAAATAAAGAAAAATGATTTGTGAATTTATCATTGTTAGCTGCAATGATTGATGAAATCAAGATGAAATTGATTTCGCAAGGATTTGAATTTGTTGGTCCTTATTACAAACGATCTAGTATCATTTGTGTTGTTGAGCCTTTGGCAATTGGCGTACCGACGACAACTTTCTTTGGAACAGTTCCGGCAGTCGTGTGATTGATTGGCACCAAATTTGGTAGTCTTTTTTCATATAGACCCAATGTTTTTTTTCCATATTTTTTTTGGTTTGGGCTTCGTCGAACGGTTAATGAATGATGTGGTGATGCTGGTAAAAAGTAAACACGGCGTAGTGCTGGTGGAGCTCGTTTTGCAACCATTTTCCCAATGTTAGCGACGTTTGCATTTTCAGTCGATAACTCATTGGTTTGCCATTCGTTGTTATTTTCAGTTTGCGATGTATCCATCGTTGAAGAATCATTCAAAGCCAAACGACGACGAACTGACGAACTTGATCCTACATCAGCATGTTTTGATGTTGTTGGAGTATCTTGCAACATGATTTCAACATGATTGCCACCATTTGGAGATGATGCTAGTCTACCGAAATCATCAGAACCAACCAGATCATCTTGTTGTGATTCTTCTCCATCTAATGACAAAATACCGACAGCTTGTTGTTGTACCTGTTGATCGGCAATTGGTGGCAAAATATCAACACCAACATCTTGTTGTGGTTGTTGTTCAGCATTTGGAGAATCACCTTGAAATTGACATTCATTTGCGCGATGTGAATCCGTTTCAGCTTGTTGTTGTACCTGTTGATCGGCAATTGGTGGCAAAATATCACCACCAACATCTTGTTGTGGTTGTTGTTCAGAATTTGGGAAGTTAACTTGAACTTGACGTTCAATTGCACGGCGCTCATGGTACGACAGGCGACGCTTCAAAATGGACTTTGGCGTTTGATGTTCAAAATGTGTGCTTCGACGGCGATCAATTTTACCTTTTGGGATTTTTTTCAGTAAAATTATGTCCAATTCAACATTTCGAACGATTTGTACTTTGCACTGATTCCAATAACCTGCATTTTGCAATGCAATCTTCGAGGCACGTGTCAATATTTTACGGTACTTTGACATTTTAGCGGCAACGACTAGAAATTGAACGAATGAAATTTTATAAATTTTTGTATATAATTTCTATTTACAATAGTATATGCTTGCAATAATTGTGAGTTCCACACAAATTCTTCTGAAACAAATTCTTCCCGTTCGAATCCGTTAGTCAGAAATATTTTAATATATTCGTTTTAAACATGGAATATTTTTATAGAAGTTATCTCAATCTTACCTTTTTGGATTTTTGATGAAGATCAATTAAACACGTTTCACACAACGTTGATGAAATGATTTTAATTGTGTTCACTTTTTAAATAATATTTTTCAATATTATAGACAAACTCTATGTGTAAGTTGAATAGTGTACTGTGGCTACTATGTAATAATGCTTGAGTCGACTGTTTCGTCGTTTGATGTTGTTACGTTTCTCAGAACGTCATCTGTTGTGAACAAAAAAAAACTTGGGAAAATGTATCACACTATCTTATTAGTAAGATTGATGCTTTTTGACAATTTTGACATACTACAGCACCATCTAGTGAAAAATGTCAATAGATAGGATAAAAATGTCCAATTGTTTAATTTTTAAGAAATTGAGTCGGATAACTAAATAAGGTAAACTAATTATAATTGATGAAATATTAAATTTCTTTATTAGTTAAATGGCATGTGTATATTTTTTTCACAGCTTAAGTTTTGAGTGAATGTATGAGACACAGCGCTTAGTTAGGTCCGCAAATTTGCCTCCAAATAGGTCAACACGAGATCTGGCCAATTTGTTCTTGCTTCCAACGATGTAACAAACTTTTTACCGTTTACCCATTCCATCCAGTACATAATTTCGCGAGTGACCATTGACACATCTGTAACAAAAAATTTATAGAAATAATTTCAATGAACACATGATTTATACATTAAGCGTAAAAGTTCTCACATGAGATCCGAATTGGATTCCCAACCAAATTTGTTCCCTCGATGATTGGTTGAGTTTCTTCGTCGTCGAATTGTAAAGTGTGGTTGAATCGCACTTGTTTTTCAATTGACATGTGGTTTTCCAAGAAATCGATTACCAAAGCTGGCCATTTGCGATGAACTTCAATCGAAGAGTATGTTTTGTTCGGAAAACCATCTTTGTACTTGATCCAGTAATCGATGCCATACGGCGTACGCTTGGCACCTGTCAAACAAATCAAAACGTTGAATCAAAATTCTTACTATAAAAATAAATGGATTTTAAATAAATTTCGCTTACTATCAATTTGGATGACATTTCCATCAATAAACTCCTCTACCAGGTCATCACAATTCAAATTGCATTCCGGCTCCCATGTGTTGTACGATTCATCATAATGTAACCATTTGATGAAATAATAAATCCCATTTTTGTCCATTCTGTGACCAATTTTACGACGTAGAATTTTTTCTACGTCGTATTCTTTCGAAACAATAGCCATTGGTCACAATGAAAAACTGTTTATAATATTTCAATGAAATCTTGATGAAAATGTTGTTAAATGCGACTGCTGAATGTTATAGAATGATCTAGAATGACAGATTGTTGCAATGTCAAATTATTATTTGAAATACATTGTCGATTTGACAATCGACAGATGGCATCAATGGACACTTGTTTATTTTAAAAAGAAAATCAAGCATTGTTTATTAAACTCGATTATTTTAAAATCACAAATTCCGACAAAGTCCATTTGGAAAATGCGTTATTGCAAAATTAGTACATGTGAAAATATGAAGGGAACTGACGATGTGTCAATACACATGTTCAGGTATTTTTTAATTATTGAAGTATATAATTTTACCAGATTTTATCTAACAATATTGCATTTTTAATTAGAATTCCCAATGATCCCGAAACTAATCAGAAATGGATGAATGCTCTAAATGAACATGCATGTACTCGTAGTAATTTTGTTTGCTTCAAACATTTTGCCGAATCAGACTATAAAATATCTGGTAGCAAGTGGACTTTACACAAAGGTGCTATTCCGACCATATTTGCATCTCAATCAGTCAATTCTAATCAGAAAAACGATCAGGTGGAATCTGAAATATGTACATCAACGTTAGAAAAAAAACAATATGAAGATTTGCTTGCCAAAAAACGAAAAATTGAAGATGAAATGCTTTTTTGGAAAAACAAAGCACACGTTTTAGAATGCCAATTGCAACAAGCCAAGGAAAAAATAATTTCAATGGAAGCGAAAAAACCAATTATCCAGATTAAAGTAGGGATTGAATATTTTGAATTGATGGATAGATATTAGTCATATTGATTATTTTTATTGTACCATCCACTTAATTACACAGAATAATGCGATAAACGATGTTCTGATGTGTCTTCAAAATGGAATTGGACACCGAGAAAAGTTCCGGCCATCGGTTCGAGAATTTGCCAATACATTAACTTATCACAGCCCTAGAGCATATGAATTTGTAAGAGCATTCTTCAATAATCATCTTCCAAGTCCGTTTACTGTGCGTCATTGGTATGCAAATAGTGATGTTAACTGTGAGAGTGGCATGAATGACTACTGCTTGAATATTTTGAAGAGAAAGGTTCAAGAAAAAAAAAGTCAAAATGAGAACTTGTATGTGGCACTATTGACGGACGAAATGGCGATTCGCAAACATGTTCAATTCAGTGAACATGGTATGATGGGCTATGAAGATTTTTTCAATACAGATCCATGCAATGCACAGCCAGCATCAAATGTCATTACTTATATGATCAGTTCAATCAATGATAATTTTCATTTGCCAATAGCCTATTATTTCATCACAATTTTGAACGGAATGCAAAAATCCATAGGAATGGAAAAAGTTGTCAGAGCTATTATTGAATGTGGAGCAGTTTTGACTAGCATCACTATGGACGGTATTACTACAAATCCAACTATGTGCAGCAATCTAGGTGCTGATTTGCGAGTAAATTCTAAAACTTTTTTGCCATATTTTACTATCGATGGACACCAAATAAATGTATTCTTTGACATTAGTCATTGTGAAAAATTGGTGAGAAATATTTGGGCTAGTCAACGCGTTATATTTAACGAGAATGGAGATGAAATCAAATGGGAATATATTGAGCGTCTGGTTCGAGCACAAGAACAACAAAATTTGATAATGACTCATAAATTGAACAGAACACACATCGATTTTCGGCGTAGGATAATGAATGTTAGAACAGCAACTGAAACACTCAGTGAATCTGTAGCAGATTCTTTACAGCATTTAATAAATATTGGTCATCCTCGTTTTAAAGGCGCCGAACCTGTTGTGGAATTCATACGAATTTTCAATGATTTATTTGATGCTTTCAATTCAAAACCGAAAAAATATAAAAGCAATCCATTGAAAACACCGTTGAATGCAACAAACGTAGGTCAAATGTTTGAATGTTTTGAAAAAGCCATTAAATATATTAAAGGTTTACGAATAAGACTAGAAAAAGGAGGAAAACTCGTAAATTTATGCTCATCACAACAAAAAACGGGTTTCCAGGGCTACATTGTGAGCATGTACTCATTGATGAAAATATATAAAGATCATATCATCGAATTGAAAGAAATTCCCACAATGAGTTTCTCCCAAGACTATTTGGAGATTTTTTTCGGCCGAATCAGGTCATTAAATGGATATAATGATAATCCAACCTGTCAACAATTTAAATCCGCATACAGGAAATTATTAGCCAACACAAACGTTTTATACTCAAGCTGCGGTAATTGTAAGGTAAGAAACTTCCTCTCTATCTGCAACCCTTATTCGAATTTATCATACGTGTCATCCCGTCGAGCTGTCGAAACCACAAAAGAGAAAACCACAACTGATCCAACTGATGAAGAAATCGAAAACCTTATGGAAGAATTGAAAAATATCGAATCGTTGGAACAGTCGAATCAACTAAGTGATCTAAGTGATTATTCCATCGCATACTGTGCAAACTTGATTGAAAAAAAAATTATTGAATCGGAAAAATTTACATGCGATCTATGTGTAGAAGTATTAGATCAAAATGACAAAGTTCGAAAAGTCTTTTTTAGCAGTAAAATGCAAAGAAAACCATGTCAAAGCACATTCAACATATGCAAAAATTCTGACCATTTTTTAAAATTAAATATATTGAAAGGAAACATTAAATTGAATACTATTCGTTATGCTATTCAAAAAAATTTATCACACGGGACACTATTTAGCAACTCGAACTTTATTGGTCATCCGGATCACAAGTTATTTTTGATTAAATTCATTATAAATGAATATGTTAGAATGAAAGGAATATTTCTAGCAAGAAAAACTACTTTAGAAATGAGAAAACCTGATAAAGATCGAAAATTCCTTACCAATCTTATTCATTTTTATCATTTTTGATTATGCGTGATTTAAATAAATAAATTTGTTGAAAAAAAACATTTTATTTTAAAATAAAATAATTATTTGTTAGAATAGGTTAATTAATCTTAAGATTTTTCAATAAAACAACAATCAACTTTATTTGATGAACTTATTATTGAAGATAAATAATAAAATTAAATAAGAACTATTTGGAATTTTTCTAGTTCCACAATATTTTTGACAAGAAATATGGATAAAAAACGAAATTCTGAAAAATATGATAAAATGACAAGAAAAAAGCAAACACTTAATTTACATTCTCACAAAATGTCAGTTTGTTCGCAAAAAAAATGGTTTATATCAATTACATTTGTACTCTATGATGGAAATTCACACAGAATTGAAAAGACTGGGTGTTTTTGGTGAATTCTTATAAAAATTTATTTTTGTTCTTAAGCTATTAAACTTTATTTATTATTAAATGGTAATTGGGTCTGTTCGATTATGAAATATTATTATAATTATTAATTATAGAAAAAAATATAGGTGAACTTATAACAAGGTTTTCTTAAGACTTTAAGTAAGTATGTCAGTCGAGGAAGTCATTTTAGATTTTTTTGATCACATTTTAGCGCTAGCTATCAACTATTCAATTAGGTAAATAAATGAATATTTTATTCTCTTGAAAATTGTATTTTCAAGTTAATACCATCATTATCATAAAATGATTTATTTTTTCAATGATCACATGCTTTTTTCAGTGAAAATGTCGGAAAATGTAAAAATAGATAAATAATTTTGTCTAACGTGAATTTTATCTTAAACTTCATTGTATTTGGTTTTATTCCTATCTTGTTTGTTTTAATTTTTAACGAACGATTTAATAAAATTTTATTTTGGCGGGGTTTTGTTGAAAAAACTGATCTATCTATGTACTATTTATCTAAGTACATTTTTACTTTCAATGCAAACATATTTTGTTCAGTATTTTATGCTCACAATGTCAAATGTCTCTTTTCAATTCTATAAGAGATTCTATCAAAACATTCATCTCTTTCAAATGTTCAAATATGATATTTTTTGATACGAAGGTCGTTCGTGAAAACATGAATAGATCGATACAAAGCTGCCATCGTTTAAACTAATGACTCAAACATTATTTAAAATTGACTAATTCAATCATTTTTTTCATCAATAACTTGAAATGACGAATCACTTAATGAATTGATACATTTGAAAATGAAAATTCGTTATCAAAATTGGGTCAATGAAACTTTACATATTTGTGGTTCTTTGCTTCTAATTTTTTCCAATATGAAATTTTAATTTTTGTTTTTTTCTAATCCACTGAGAAAGAAACAATAAAGTGTTAAATTCATTGTTCCGGGGTATGAGTTTTACGTTAGATTCATTCCAAGCGAATCAATTTTACAATTAGTTATATTTAATTGTTTAAGAGATTTACGTGTATTTTAATCAAATTCAAAAGATTTTTGTTTTTTAGACTGAATACACTTTATTAAAAAAGGTGTATTCAGTTTAAAAACAAAAATCTTTTGAATTTAGTTATATTTCCCCTTCAAGTGCTTCATTTTCAATATTATCTAAATTGGCATTTAATAAACATACAGAACAACAATATTGCCTAGTGACTGAAACACAACTTAATTAACACTCGTATTTGCAATTTTGCGCGGTGTCTCCTTTTATGTGTGTGTGTGTGTGTGTAACGGATGCATAGAGCGGAAGAAATGAAAGAAACTACTAACAATGTGTGGTCAAAAATGTCAATAATGCGATAGTATGTATGTGTATGTTGAGGTAGTTCATTCGCATTATCTAATTCCCACTTCAGACTTCAGAATTCAGCTTTATCATAAGTATGTGTAACCTATTCCGTTATCAATTATGTCCTCATAATCGATATATATGTAGCTATGGTCATCATCTACCGACACTATAATATCCTCATATTCTGCAGTACAGTTTATATCGTTTATTTCTGGGATATTATTCAATTGGTTGCGTCGGAAAACTAAAAATACAGACAAATATTTTGAACATATTGAAAAAAATCTATTCGCCAAAAACTTACCACAGAAGAAGTAGCTGAATGTTGCAATTAATATATTGAAAAATATCAATATGACTTCAGCTGCTTGATATCACTGGGACTCGAAACGTTTATGCTAACATTTTTCGGAGCAGTCATATTCAAATTTTTCATGTAATTATTGTTCGATTGTGGATCTTCTTTTGGGGTTAGGACCATAGAACTTTCTGATGAATAGATTTCTGCTTCTATTTCCCGAAACGACGATAATATAATTACAACGCGGAACTGTGAATAATAAAAAAAAACACAATGGTATACTTTCATCAATGTCATCAAGAGTTACAAACACTCCAACTTACCCGATATTTTGTATATGGTTGAAGATTATCAAGCCGTATCTCTGAATTGTCTTCCATGCTATGATGGTAGGTCCAATCGTTGTCGCTTTCATCATAGCGCCATTGCACCAAATAGTTGTACGAAACATTTCTCCATCTCTTCATAATTTGAGGTAAAATTTTCGGAATTTTCCATTCGAGCGACAGTGCGTTTGACGTTAATGAGTGGGGCAAAAGAGCTGGAGCAGGTGGCGTTCCAATTTCGGCTGTAAAATATATTCACACATATCCATTATGTCAATCATATAACCAAATTTAAATTAATTGTTTAGTTCGCTATATAATATATATTTGTTTGCTAATAATTTGTTTTTAATTCCTTATGTCTTTTTTTCTGATCCTTTGTTCATTCCTCTCTTCATATTTTGATTTGATAAGTCTTCACATAAAAAATGAAAGAATGAGATTTATATTTTTTATACCTATAAGATACTCGAAGTACTGAGAAACGACATTGTTACAACCAGTCAAACAATACCAGTCCTTGACATCGCGATCCGTTTTGTTCTGAATTTTGAAATTAATAACATTTTTAGTGACAAATTGAAAACAGACAAAACCGCTTTACTCACACATGCCACCTTACATGATGTATCGAGAGCCAGTTCCCACACTCCACATCCAGTTGCACACTACGAAAAAAATATTACAAACAGAAACAAATAGCAAAAGAATTCACAAATAGCATATTTTAAATAAATAAATTGCGAGCATATTTGCTTACCTTAATGTGGATATTCGAAGCATTTTGATTCTAGAATAGAAAGGAAAGAAATTAAATTAATTAATAAGAGAAAATGTTTCTAAAATCAACAATTATTAATTGTGCTCTCTTTTTGATCACTTCTACTACTATAGAATGAATATTTATTTTTTATTTTTTTACACACTGAATCGCCCTGAGGACGCAATTTCTATACATAAATTAGTAAAAAGCGAGACCGATCCGACAGTTTAAGGAAAAGTGTGGATATTATTGTTTCTGTGTGTGTGTTCCTTATCTCAATTAAAATTAAAGATTGACAACAGCCGACAACAGCATACTTTTTTTCAAAAACTAAAACACGAGTATGTTTTAGCAGAATGCTCTTCTTTGGCTTTGCACAATACAGTAAAGTAAATAAAACGAAGACTGAAAAAACTTGAATGATTTTAATTTAAGACATATATGAAGCGTATTAATTGCTTCTTCTGCAGCAAAATTTTCAACCTTCATTCAAACAAATACATACAATGGTCGATCGGTTCGAAATGTAATGAGATAATTGAAAGTACATTCGATGTTTATGCAAACACACAGTCAAGTTTGGAAGTAGAAACGCACAAATCAATGGCCACACTGTTTTTTGGGCTTAAATATTTTGGTTTTTAAAATTCAGATGAATGATGATGATGCATAGTTTTATTTTTTTTTATTTTTTTCACTCTTCTATTATTTTAACTGAATTGTACCACACCTGAGAGAGATGTGATCAAAAAACTCTACTGAGAGACGGCGACAACAACAGTATCTAACCATAACAAACATTTAAATTATCAGTGCAGGAGATATAATTTTACTTGAATTTTTGGACGCAAATATTATCAGTACATGCGAAACACAACAAGGGCAATGCGTTTTCAGTACAATTGTTGTTGCTTTTCGATTTTACTTTTGACACTGTGTTGAATAATTACTCTACATAAATAATCATCAAAGGCATGAGTTTCATTTCAAGGAAATTTCAAAAAAAATATTTAAATCATTATTAAAACGAAAATTGTAAAAGCACTTTGTGTACTCTGCGTGTAATAACAGTAATAATTTCTCTGATTTGCCAGTATTTACAAAAATTGTAAACGCGTCCATATATAATTTTTACATTGGGTTGTTTTGTGTTTGTTTGATTATCAAAATGTTGTTAAGTTTTTCTCTTGTGTTTTGGTTTCACAGCTAGGAATCAACTAAAGTGATATAATTGCATATGAAAATGCTGTAAAATTTGAGCTACGTCATCAAAATTAATTGAATCAAAATGTTAGGATAAAAAAATAAAATGGCTCGAATTATTCGTTATAATGAAAAAGGTCCAAACTATAGCTGTATACACAGCATAATGATAAACACGGTTGAAGTGAGTGGCGTGATTGTGGTTGTATATAATACATAAAATTGCTGTGTACCCACTTGTTTAAAACGAGATGACAAACACAAATAGATAGAATGTTTCTCGATTGTTCAAAGCGAAAATGTTATTTTTGTAAATAAACAAAAGGAAAATTATTGTATGAAATTGCCATGGTTTTTTGAAATACATATTTCATACGGGGAATTATTGAACAGTGAATGTACAATGCACAACACTGAATGAAATGATTTTAAATCGGAATCAAGAAAATAACAGAGCCGCCTCTTTTTTCTTCTTCACATCTAATTGAATAAATTAAAATTCAAAGGCAAACTGAACAATATGTGTTAGAATTTGAACACACAAATCATGATCATATTAAAAGAACAACAGAAAATGTCAATAAAAAATGTTAGCTGGAGTGAATTTTCCAATAAAAAGAAACAAAATGCAACAAAATGAAATTCGAAGCGTAATTTAAAATGCTGACGTTTGTTTATTTTCATTTTTGATGATTGGCTACAATACTCGACCACGCTATTATTTGATGAAAAGACAAAAAAAAACTTACGTGATCTGGGCATTTTTCGATGCACAACTTCTGGATATGTTCCGGCGAGAAACTAAAACCACATTCACATCCATTCAGCAAAAAACTGATCACAACAACACTTGATAAAAAAATTAGATTTGCATATTGCATGACTGAAAGGAATTCACCATTTTTCGGAGCCAACATGTTTTAATTAATTTGATCACTTGCTGTTTTATTCTTTCAATCATTCAACTTCGATTGTACTTTGAATATTGCACAGATCATTGAACCTATTTTGTCGTAGACTTTTCGAACTATTTTAAAATTTTCTTTTCACTGAAAATGTTATCACAGATACATTGGAATTTCTTCACAAAAACTCATAACAAATATATATTTTTATATATATATTGTATATATTATTATATAATCTATATATTATTTTTATACTCAATATTTTAACACTTTCTTTCACTTATTTAACGGGAAAAAGAAAAGAAAAGCATTTGAATGCTGCACAAAATTTATGCTTGTCGCAGCTCTGTCACCGCATCGTAAATAATAACAACACAATGTGACATTCATATTTTAGACTACCGACTCTTTGTCGCACATGGTTTAGACAGCATGTTTGACATTATTTTTATTCCCCTCAGATAGATGGCGCTACGTTTATAGTGTTTGCAGCAACCGTTTGGAATTTATCTAAGCGGATAGATCATTCTGGCGTAATCTATGTGAAATACTTATCATATCTTAAATAATAAATACTATTCCTTTCCGACATTAGGTTTTGCCTAAATGTAAAATGAAAATGCTTTTAATTGAATCAATCATTTATTTTATTTGTTTAAAAAGTAAAGCTGTTGTACTTCAACAGGTACACTGTAAACAATTGACATATAAGTTGACATCACTACGTTGGAATTTGCCCAAATAGGTAAACTATCCAACCAATACGAATAAACAATATGCACATCACAATGCAATGACTCCAGGGTTGTACACTTTACCTATTTGGTTGAAAAATTGCTAATTCCAAACCAGGGTTGCGAAATTTTCTGTCAAGTTTATGACAGTGTAGTCTGAATCAATAGGTTCATTTTCGGGAAATCAAAACTTATACATTAACCGAATTTTTCACGGTATAATATTGCATGATTTATTTATGAAATTATTTAAAAACGGAATGTTAATTTTGTGGCCAAACAATAGGCGTAATCCAATCGATATAATGGGCAACACTAGTATAAATACTAGGCAATTCCAACGCGCAACCATGACCAAAACTAACAATTGCAACTATTTCGACAGTGTTTGGATCATTATTTGACATTTTTTGTAGCGATCCTCCGCTATCACCTTGACAACTATCTTTTGATCTATTCTTATTTTCTTCTGCATCGAATGCACAATATTGCCCAGGACTAAGGCCATCTCTAAATGCTGGATCATCTTTGAATGTAGTATGGTTCAAATAGATATTGCTGCATTCATTTAAAGGCTTTGTATTAATCTCAATTTTGCGTAACTCGTTTGACAGAGACGTTCCTGAAGTTAAAACAAATAAGTTTGTAGAAAAATGAGCTCAAAATCAAAACCTTTCAACCTACTAGCAGGATCTGTATTGCCCCAGCCGATCACAATTACTTTCCTATTTGTATCCAAATCAGCTCTATCGGTGTACAAGCACGCTGGTCTAATATCATCGGTAAATGAAATCTCGGTTGACAGTCTAATCAATCCGATATCGTTCTTTTTCGTGGAACTGTTATAATTTGGATGACGCGTGAAACTCTAGCAAGTAATTGGAAAAACTTTAGAAAAGAAAAATACAAAATAAAAATTATATGTGCATTACTCACTTTTATATTATAGTGTACGGCCTGAACAGCATCAGATATAGTATCGGTTAAATTTACCTTTTTTTTAAAAAATAAACATTTTCAATGAAGAAAATTTTCTCATCACATTGTTGTTTTCACTCACTTTTCCCAGTCGCACTATCACTGGTGGCCGCCTATCTGTCACGCAATGTGCAGCCGTCAATATATAGCGATCTGATATTATAGTGCCACCACATCCAAAATTTAAATTCAATGTGTCACTGTAATATATGCCGGCCTTTTTACAAAAGCAAAAAAACGTGGTTAAATATTGCCAAAATAAATGGAAATTAAAAATTATCTTTACCATCCACGGGAAACTCCCTTGTGCAACGATATTACCGTCGATTATACGAGGTTCCAATTTAGTTTTAATTTCTGGAAATTTCTTGCACGCTAATTTAGAAAAAAAAAGAGATCATTTTATAAATGAAATTTAATGTTTCATCAAATATTTCCACATGTGGAATACGACAATAACAAAAATCCCCAATACTATTTGTGGTGTCGTCATTGAGAACGTATTACTGTCAGTGTGGTAGGATGACACCACAATTTTTTTGGTTCATATGACGGCCTTAGAAGAAAACTATAACATACAGAACATGTAGCAAATAACACTAATACAAATTTTATGAGAGCAAAAACCAAATATATAAATAGACTCTCTCATAAAATTTGTATTAGTGTTATTTGCAACATGTTCTGTATGTTATAGTTTTCTTCTAAGGCCGTCATATAGCATTAGTATGTTTCCGCATCCACGGCATTCAATACAACTAGTCTAGCTCTGTTCTTAACTACATTTAATGGCTATCTATCCATTTATATTTCGAAATTAGTATATTTTTTAATCTTTGTATCACAAGGCTGTCATCAAATGCGTTAAGTGAAAGAAGCGCTGGACTTGTTTCCGGGTTACAAAATAAGGATAATTACCATTTTTAGCAGCAGCTTTCCCATTTTCTGAAATGGTTTATGATTACACATTTAATGAATGGAGGTTTAATTTCTAGACAAAAATTCTTAAATCGGAATTAAACTGCGAATTATGTCTGTCTATCGAACTATTATAAAGTTGGATACACTTTTATCTCTTCCCGTGTACAAAAAAAGTGACTCACTATTTTGGGACAAACTGACTGACTGTTGACTGTAAAAACAAACAACTTCAGTTAAATTTATTTAACTTCAATTAATTAAAGTAAGCTATGGTTAACTGCAACAGCAAACTATAGATGACAATAATCATAGTCACCCGATAGTCAAAACGTCCCAAAATAATCGCCTGACTGACTGAGTATAGTTGATTGTACAGTCAATAGTAACTTAGTCACTTTTTTCCACTCAGGCTATCCATATTCTGCAAAATTCCTGAAGAAACGTTGTTCCTCTTGAATTACCCTCAAATTTGCAGAACATACACAAGTGATAAAATCAACACTTGAGCTATACATTAATGCCTTCCACTATAAATGTGAATAATTAAATAAACTGTTTTGAGGGACATCGGATGTACACTTACCATAAGCCCTATATTTTGTTTGTACAGCAGCGTCAGTAAATTTTTCGCTGGGAGCTGCTTCATTCCTAGCATAGCAAATGTACTTTTTCCCTTCATCACTACGATCATCTTTATTTATTTCAACAACTGCATCTGGCACTATAACATTTTTACCGCCGCCATTTCGATTTTGTCGCTTCGATTGCACAGTCATCGATGGCGAAACTTCTACAGAGCATTCCAGCTTCAGTATATTTCTATCAGTTATCGTTCGTGCTACGAAAAATATATAACATTTTTATTTAAATGTGCTGCATTAATGAGTTATTCAAAAATGGCAGCATTTATTTTGAAACTTACGTTCGATGTGGATAACAGTGCTTCTGTCAGCGGTTTTTTTATTCGAAGTGGCTATACATTGATAAGTACCATGATTTTCTGGCTGAGCATTGGAAATCATTAAAGAGTTTCCGATTTGCTGTACATTTGAACCGAGAGAGCCTTCGTTCGTCTTTCTCCATGTAATTTTCGGATATGGATAACCAGACGCTTCACAATCCAAACTGAAGTTGGAACCTTGGACAATCGAGTACAAGTCGTCGAGCGGTTTTACATCAATTGAATGAAGTGCATCTACATTCGATATCGCTTTTTATTTGAACGAGGATTTGCATTCTAGATTGGTGAATTGCTTACCTTTTATCTGGTTTTTTGCCCTACAATTTTTTGGATCTTCATCTGAACTGTCTATACAATCTGGGAAATGTCCATCTAGGAATCACATTTGGATTACACCAAATTCGTGCTTATAAAATCGGGTTACTACTTACCGCAAAGGAATTCTGCATTAATACAATTTCCATTATCACACCGCCATTCATGTTCGTTGCATCGAATATTCGGGTTTGTTGCTGTTGAGGCTGTAGTCAATAGTGTGTTCGTATTGAAAAAAAGTTAATTCAATAAATTACATTGTTGATGATCAATGATCATTGTGCATATCGTTATGTCATTCTTCAATATTCAAGTGAATTCAAACAAATAAACAGGAAATGTCCAAACCATTTTGACATGTTCAACAGACGAATTTTGATGTCTTCATGCGTTTGTCATTATTTGACAATCCGAAATGGAATAAACTTACAAAATTCAGTCGTTGTTGGTGGTGTTGGTTGATAGCAATTCGGATAGATCCCAATCAATCCAGGTGCGCAACGTGGTCGTGTAACCAAAGACACTTCAGGCTATTAAACATTTCCAAATTGTCAACAATATTACGGATAAATGGAATAAAAATCACTTACACCATCATATTCACAGTTTTGCACATTAGCACTGTCCTTTATGCTATTAATCATGTCAATCTTTTCGGATAATATTTCCAACTGAAAATATCGGAAAAGTGTAGCTTTAAATTCATCGTTAAAATTAAAGTTCGTTTTCAAGTGAAGAAAAACAAAAGTGTTACGTACGTTTGAAATGCAACCATCAAAACCACTGTTGGCTCCTACTTTCGTACTCAAATTAAAGCGGCTGTCATAGCCACCAATGTACAAATACCAACCCAAATGCATAGTATTATTATCCGTTTTTCGGATAATTTTTTGTGAATTTCCAACTTTAAGAAAACCTTTGCCATTTTGATATCCAAGTGAAATTAATGTCCACCTGTTTACATCAACTTCTTCTACTGAATGAATGGTGACTAGTTCCAAGGCTGAGTAAGTAAAAAACAACGTTAATTTTTAAATGGATTTAAAAATGGATCGAAGTTACAGAGTCATTCAACTTACCAGTTTTAAATTTAAATGCGTAGTGTCTATCTTTAATAATAAGCGTCAAGAAATTTCCCATTCCGGAGGAAAAACAAAATTGAGACGTATATAGAAGAACACTATCTCGGTTATTTCGTGGTCTCACATAGAATTGAATCTCTTGGAATGATTTTGGTGCTTCAAGTGAAATGAAACTGTCATTTTTGAATGACAAATTGTTTTTATTAAAGTATTCAGTATATTGGCATCGATCACCGGTTTTGGTAAATGGACAGAAACATTTAAATCCTGAATTTGTGTCTTGACATCGTCCGGTTCCGCAAACGTTTCTTGAACATTTCATTATCTCATTCGTTGTATCTGAAACTATTAATTTATATGTGCATTTGAATAAATTCTAGAATAGAAATAAAATATTGTTTGCTCGCATATCGAGACGTGACTCATAAATGTTAAAAAAACTCAAAATGACTCCCATAGAAAACTCCGTACTTTTGAACCTAAAATTTTTTTTAGTCATTTTTGTATGAAATAAAATGTCTTACATACGTAAGATGAACTTTTCCGCACTGTGATCCACAAAATTCATTTATAACTTATCTTTTACTTGAATTTGAACTCACGAAAAACTGAATCTGACATTAGTTTTGCGATACACATAATTTTTGACACACTTTTTATATAAAAATTACTTAAAATGGGAATTTTGGAATGGAATCAATCCTTGCATGACGACGTGAAACTTGACACAGTGTATTTTTTCACAAAAAGTCAACATTCTGGAAGTTCGAAAATATTTCAATACAATTTAGGGGTACTTCCCATACAAAATTTTCGTTTTTGGGTGAAAAATCCAAAATTTTGTTCGGAAGGTACCCCTAATATGTATTGAAATGTCTTCAAACTCTTGGAATATTATTTTTGTGTGATAAAAATAACCTGCGCAAAGTTTCAGGTCATTACGATATCATACAGGCATTTTTTTTGAAATTTTTGTATGAAAGGTGTGTCGAAATATATTTGTATCGCAAAACTAATGTCATATTCGGTTTTCTCGTACCCAAAAACCCCCCAATACATATTTTTGGATGTTTAAGAATACATTAAATATCACTTTTGGGGGGAAAATTGAATTTTTCCCATGGATGGACATGGGCATCACACCAGACATGACACGTTACTCTATCAACCAAAGTGGCTCAAAATCTAATGGTTTCTATTCCTCGGCACCCCCAATCATCCTGTGAAGTCAGATTTTGAATTACTTTTCTGGTTTGAAAGTTATCGTGTTAACAAATTTTTGCGTACAGCGTACAGCGTACAGTGTACAGCGTACAGGGTACCACGCACATACATTCGGACATCGAAAAAACGCTAGATTCGTGTTCCCTGGGTCCTAAAACACCCAGAAAACATGTTTTTTGAGGGTGTTAATTTTTCGACCGATTCCAATACTTTACCTTACACACTAGGTGTGTGCGGAAAAGTAAAATGTGTCAAAACTTATTTGTATTATAAAACTAACGTCTGATTCAGAACGAATACCAAAACACTTTGTGTTGATTACATAGCTACAAGCGCTTAAAAGTTGGCTTTTTCATTCGGTCTTTATAAACTTGGGGGTTTTTTGGTATGAGAAAACCAAATCAGACCTTTATTTTCTGAAATAAAATAAGGGCCCAACCATACAAGAATACAAATCGAAAAGAAGGTCTTCATTTTCTTTCTAGGGAGACGATTAGTAGCTGCCATTAAAAACAATAAGATAACGTCTCTTTATTTGTTAATATTGATCAAAGTACAAAAAAGAATTACTGTTGATATGAGTACAAAACTCTTCTTTGAAGTTCCCACTGTAACGCGATACTGTCAATCAAAAAATGTTCTGATATAAATTTTCAGTGTCGCGTTCGTTAATATACATAAAAAATGTTATTATTGCGTAACCTCTTTGATCTCAAAAAAATACGATAATACGTAATCGAAAAATAAGGAATTGAATAAAAATAGCATCGATTGTGAAATCAAAACAAAACACGAGATTCAAAGATAAAGATTTACTGTTCTAAAATTTATTTGTTTTCGCATTTTAGAGGCGATGCCAAAAATCAAAAATTTTGTAGGTCAGGCCCCCTGAGACATCACATTTTTGCGTTACCCCTTTACAAAATTCATGATTTTGGATAGAATTTTTCTCATTTTGCTAGGGTTTCTGGATCATAGCTGAAAATTTAATAATAAATTAAAGAATTTAATCATATATGCAAAGTTTCACTACATTATGGGTCGTAATTTACGACATCATATAGGCAGAATCCAAACGTTTGGTGGCTTTTGTACGAAAAGTGTGTCAAAAAATATTTGTATCGTAAAACTTACGTCAGGTTCGATTTTATCGTGCCCAAAAAAACAACCACTACACTTCGTTTCACTGTTTAAGTAGACATGAAATACTACTTTTGGAAAAACAAAATTCGATTCTTTCTCATAGCCAATTTTTCATCACATGAGTCATCAAATATACTACAAACCAGTCATTCGTTGCAATTCCAATTTGGAATTTCCAAATCATTCAGAAAAGTTAAATTTTGAATTAAGTTTCTGGGGTAAGAGTTTTAACAAAAATTGCGTACAGCGAACAACCGTGACAGAATAACAACAATCATGCTCAAAAAGCCTCTTTTCCCTTAGAAACGTATGTCTTTGGGGTGTCTCAAAATGTCATTTATTTGAATTCTTTCACTGTTGGAAAGTTGGCTTTAGTGAACATAAAAATATCATGAAACACTTACCAGCCAAAATAGTGACGAACAAAAACCAAGTCCACAAGAAGATCTTCATTTTGAAATGACATTTATTTCACAGATGATAAAAATGATAATTTCGCTTCAAACTCACTTTTAAATATTTTTATTTTAATATAATTTCTTTTTAATTTTCTTTGGTGACAACATTCAAATTCAATCAGAAAAACCCAACTAGCAATGCAATAAAAAGCAATCATATTTATACATTGTACGGGGAACATGTTTTAATCTATGCACAGCTGTGTGTTTTTTATAATACATAAGCATGTATCTTAGTATTTTGGAAGTATGTGCACCCCTAGCCTACTGCAGAAAGTAATTTGCGGTAATTTGGCTGTAAATGTATATTCGTAAATCTCAATAGCCAAAGGTTATCAAACTTTGACGTTATATAATCTCAAATAATGTGTTTAACCATTAGTCATGACTGTTTACAAATAATTAGAAATTGATGCACGCAAATCTATTTTATTCTCTCAATATTTGATAACGTCGTTGTTGAGAGCTTCACTTTATAGAACGGGAAAACCCAAAATCGTTGTATCACCTGTGATAATGTCGAGTCTTGAAAAATGAGAGAGTAAAAATATAAAGCTGAATCGTCTGTCTTTGAGAGATCAACAAAAATAGAAACAAAAATTGAAATAATTTCAATTGAATCAATCATTTATTTTATTCGTTTGAGAGAGAAAATATACATAAATCTGGATAATAATACATTTTCTGTTAGTTTCGAAAAACACTCAAATGAACAAAACACGAGAATTTTTTTTTTTGCGCAACCAGTAAGAAGAAACTTCTGTTGTAGCTTGCTCCACTTTCTGCGGCATCGTTTAATTATACGAGTGCAATGGAGGGTAGTGTGGCTTCATAGGCGGTTCATTAAGAACCTTAATGCGTCCCTCATGCACAGGCACCGGATCAATAACCTTAACCTTCTCAATATACTTGTAGAACGCGTCCACTATCGACGTTGATAAGAACTTTGCTTTACAATCCTGTAAATAAAACGATTGTGTTGATAAAAGTTCTGCAATAAAGGTACAATGCCATACTCACATTGAACATAGAAAACCCAACTCTTTCTTTGTACAGATACGCTGTGGTGATAACATTGTATTCCTTCTTTAAATCGAGTTTTTCATAAATTGAATTCGAATTAAGAATATCAACCGATACAGCGCGATTGTCTGGTTCTTTTCCCAAATCGAAAACAATCTGCATTCCCGATACATGCACAAATTTTCCACTAAATCGCGATTCCACGTATGTCTTTACCAACCGGCTAAGCCTATGAAGAGACAAAATGCGAATTCCCCTCATCTGTGCCATCTTGTATTCCATAGTTGAACTCAATTACAATGAATTGAATCGAAAAAGAGAAAAAAAACAACAACAGTAACATGGCTACATAGATCTGTTGACCAGTGAGATACGTATAGCAATGGAATGAAAGAATGAAGAAAGCGTATATGTGTATGTATGCATCAGCACGCATAGATGTACAGCTCTGTGTGGCCGTGCTATTGTTGTTGTTTTTTCACTTTTTCATTTCAATGCTACAGAATTAAATTCAGTTTTTGCATCTAATTCACACTAAAATCAGATGGCGCTCATTAGCGAGATTCGCAAAAAAAAGTCTCCAATCTCATACAAATATACACCGGCTGGTCTTTACCGAATATTCAAGCGCCTCCATCAATTTTTGGCCCGAAATTTTCATGATTACCAATTCACTGTCCAGTGGGACCTGAAATAAAATCAAACAATTGATTTTTTTTAAATATATTTAAAAGTATCTTTTATTTTACCACTTCGTCTAAATCCATTCGAGTTATATTTCCAACTTTTAATTGGCCGCGAATTGCACCACTGGCAATCAAAGCAATCGATGACTTAAATGAAGGATCGTCCAACTTGGCATTGGCCAAATGCATCGGTGATCATGTTGTCAAGACCACACCTGAGAGAGTCAATTAAAAGGATAATGGTTAGATTTTGGGTGAGAGTGATCGAGACCATTTTCTTTACTCCAATATACGGCATCTCCAGTCGGAAAACAGTAACTTCGATTGGCCAAATGGAGGACCGGCCAACTTGGCTTCCATTTTTCGGTATTTATCTTCCAAAGCAGTTGTTTCTTTGTCCCGTGGAGTTTTTGAATCTAAGAGAATCGGATTTCTACCCCATTTCGTAAGTCGGCCAGTGTTTTTGTCAATCTATTACGAATGATGCTTTCAGAAAGTAGAAAAAATGGAAATTATTTCAATGTTGCACCTGTATTTCAAGTTTGCCAAGATACTTCGTTGCCCAAAACGCCTGAACGATGACGACTTTTTTCCGCTTTGTTGTTTCACTTCAGTTGGGTAGCCAGACTTAATGGCTTCCGTATCCGGTTGTTCACCTGTGTACAAAAACGTATGCGTGTGACCACCGATTACAACATCAACGAGTGGACATTTTGCAGCGACCTCTTGATCCATTTGGAAACCAGAATGGCCCAATGCAATGATTGTTTTTACACCATCTTTTTTCAATTTTTTTGCCTCTTCACTGAAATGGTTTTTTGGACGAGAGATATTATTCTCGACTTTATTGGCATTAATTTATGTTTAACTCACGACAGCTTTTATTTCGTCCGTAAAATCGACGTCACATTCTTGTAATTTTGTTCCTGTTTCTGGTGTAAGATAGCCAATGACACCGTTTCGATGTCCTTTTATTTTGAGAACAACCGATGGCATAACCGATTTCGCTCTACGCAACGCATGATCGGCTTTTTTTTTTGAAGTTTGCAAATAGATTGGGAAATTTAGCTTTTTCCAAAAATAGAACTAAAGCACCAATACCAAGGTCGAATTCATGGTTGCCCAAACACTTGAAAATATTAAGAGAGTTTTTATTTTTTAGTTTTTGAAACGTGTTTTTCTCAGTTGATTGCCTACCATTGCATCTGGTTTCAAAACGTTTAAAAAATCAGTGACAACTTCCGCTTTGAATAGATTAAACCAACGACTTCCAATATAATTATCTCCGGCATTGAAATACAAAACTGGTTTGCTACCATTTTTGGCTGCACGTTGATATTCCTTTATTACATGCGAGGTGCGCGCAAATCCACCTTAGCCTTCCTTTATATTCGCATCGGTCGATCGAAATGAGTTTAGTGATGGATCGTTGGGATCCACTGGCAAAAACCGTCCATGCTTATCATTACTGTGCAATATAATCAAGTTCAATAAATTGTTTGGGGCCGATTTTACAAAGGCGACTGAAAGCGTCAACAACAGCACAATGACCAAACACGTTAAATGGCTCCTTTGAGCGTTTTCGACGAACATGTTTGAATCTTCTAGGAACGAGAAGAAATTTCTTTTAAATATAGTATGCTCGGTTTCAAGTTTTTCGCTGGTGCCACGAGATTTTATTTGAGTATCACTTGCGTTGTATATTGACAATGTATTTGAACGCGACTCGATTTAAGAAGCGCCATCTCTTTCACGCCAGGTTCTCATATATTTTTTTCTTGCAAATAAAATTGCAAAATTGTATAAATTGAATAAGTTTTGCAATAATAATAACGAAAATAATTCATAGAATTTATAATAAATAAAAAAAATTGAAAAAAACACACAAATATTTTATATTATATGATATGTAGCTTTGCCTTGTAGACCATGTAGAGATGGTTACGTGGAGAAAATATGTATTTGTCAAACATTGATATCTGTCAAAAGAAACAACGTAAACAACACGAAGTGAAGCTATTCTGGTGAATCATATAATATAAAATATTTGTGTGTTTTTTCAATTTTTTTATTTATTATAAATTCTATTAATTATTTTCGTTAATATTATTGCAAAACTTATTCAATTTATACAATTTTGCAAGAAAAAAATATATGAGAACCTGGCGTGAAAGAGATGGCGCTTCTTAAATCGAGTCGCGTTGAAAGCCGACTGTAAGTGATACTCGATTTTATTTCATCGCTGTGAATTGTGTTATTTCTTTTTTTATTACAATTTATCTCTACTTATTATAATTAAAAACACCTTTTATACAGATGTTTAAATTAAATATGTTCTGTTGTGTTAAAATATAAAAAAGAACTAGGAGGTTCGTAAAGACAAAAGCTTATTTATACAGTTTTTATTGGATAAAAAACATTAAACGTGTTCGTATGAATTATTCGAATTTTTAATAATTTTAATCGCTAGTGTGAAGCTTTCATGTCGTTTCTAACGACCAAATGTAAAACATTCATGGAATTTTGTTTTTCTCAAACTCAATGCTTGATAAATGTGAATTTCCAAAAAAAAAAGAATTGAGTTTCGAAAAACTGAGTTTCGAAAGTTCTTTTTTTGAAATTTACATTTATTAAGCATTGAGCAAATTCCGTCGATTTTGTGTGTAAACTTTTTAAGCTCATGGTTACACGAATCATGTGATAATATAATATAATAATAAAAAAGTGCCACAAAAATGTAGGCATGAGAAAATTTGAATTCTATATATTAATGAGATTCACTTTGGTGGTGTACGAATTTCGGGTAAACATTTTCCGGGTTTTGATATTTTCATTTTTGAGAAAGCCAAATTTTGAGAAAAAAATGTTGGTACATTTTCATGATAATGGTTATGTATAAAAATTTGTACATTTTAATGGTAAAGACGATTTTTTGAAATTTGACATCGATCGGGATAAATTAAAGGTGTTTTGTTATATTAAAATGTTAAAAAGTGAAGACAAAAGCTACTTTATACAGTTCTTTTTGTTTGGATAACACACGTTAAACGTGTTCGTATGAACTATTCGAATTTTTAATAATTTTAATCGATTGTGTGAAGTTCTCATACCGTTTCTGACATTTGTGGAATTTTGTTATTCTCAAACTCAATGCTTGATAAATATGAATTTTTGAAAAAAAGAATTTTTTCTTTCGAAATTTCACATATCGTAAAATTTTTCCTGGAAATATAAACCAACTCGATGTGAAAGATGTGTTGCCGTTCCCATCAGATTTGGTCATCATGAAAATTACAGGCGAAAAATTGATGAAAGCATTTGAACATTCTGTTGTAGAATATGTTGAACATGAATTTATCGCATCATTTTTACAAATGTCTGGATTCCGCGTAGTTTTCGATGTGGCGTTGAAACCTGGCAGTCGCGTTTTGTCGGTAGAAATTCGCAACTCACAAAATTTATATGAAAAACTCAATTTGCAAAAGGTTTATAATGTTGTTACTTCGGAGTGGTTGATGAAAAATGGCGATGGATTTACTATGTTCAAAGTAAGTTGTTTATCCAGTGATTTTCAATTGGATGTTCAGTATCCATAAGATCTCAGTATAGATAAGTACACAGTATGTTTGCATGCATGGCGTTTGCGTTTGGAATAGAACGACTACAATACATATATTGTGCGATGTTTGTGTTGCTTAATTTGCTCAACCGAATGCTCAGCTATCCTATGGATAAACCGTTTATCATATATGTGGAAATTCTTATTCAAATAATATTCAATACTTTCTTCTTTTCGATAGGACTGTGAAGCGAAATACTTACAAATCCCAATATTGGATGCACTAACCAATCACATTAAGAAGAGCAAAGTTCTTAATCCGTCCCCTGTGCATGAGGGTCGCATCACAGTGCACAATGTATTCCCATTGAAAAAAGGCGTACCTCCACTCCACGATAATAACTGATTTCAACGAATTTTTATACTAAGAATGTGTCCTGGAATTGTATTACCAAAAACGCTACAAATCATGCTAAATAGTTGAATTATTGTAGACGATTTTCGAACCTTCACCTTTCACGCAATCTCAGACTCCAAATACCCAAAATTTTGGCAATTAATTGTCTTGAGAAATAAAAACTGGGAGTATAAGAAACCGTATTTTTGTTAATACTAACCGATATTTCAATCCATCAGAGGTAAGTTTTGGTGAGAAGGGAAGTTCTATACATACAATGATTTTTGGATAAGATATATGATGCATACATATATAATAGGCACGCAAATTTGTTCTTCTTATTTTGCCTAATCTATCCTATCCAAAAATCATTGTATAGAACTCTTATATGATTTTAACTTTGCAAGTTTTCATCGTTCACTCCAGAGATGGTCACAGGGGGGTCAAATTGAATCAATTTTGAACTTTAATCACACTGAAAACTGCTGCGTTCAAGAACAGTTAATGAGCTCCTATAAAAGTGAAGGTGATCCTATAAAAGTTTACATACTTTATCTCTATACCAAATTGGAAAAGCATCCAGACGTAAGAACGATAAAATTCGAAATTTCCTGTTTTTACAGCCAGTTTGGTATTCTCACTGAAGTGCTGTTGTTTTTCTTAATTTTCGGTTATCCATACCGGAAAATATATTGAGTTTGAGGTCCTGAAACCGCTGCAGCGGCCGTTGAATCATTTAGTATCGGGGGACCCGATGAGACCTCTATTTCATAACCGATAAAACACAGTTTCGACTCAAAACTCTACCCGACTCTACCTATACCATATAAAAAGCGACTCTGTGCATTTTCATTCTATTTCCTTTCTTGAGAGCTTGCTGTTTTTACAGATCTGACTTGAAATTGGCAAAAAAATTCAAATACATCGCTTACTTGCATACTTCCATACTTGCTTGAAGGTTATGATTTTTTGGAAAATTCTCTCCCTTTTACAGCGTGTGCCAGAATAACTGTCGGGCTTATATGTAATATTCCAGAAAACAAAAATGCAAAGAACTGCTGCGCCAGCACGCCAATTCAAATGTCGTTGTTCTTGGTACAGCCAAGTCTCAATGCACAAAATGATCGTGTGTATGCAGTGTCTGCAGTAGACATTCCTGAATACGAAAAGACCGTTGAACGATTTCAGAATGTTCCAAAAGTGATGGTTTGGGGCGCATTTTCGGCCGATCGAAAATTTCCTCTTTTCATCGAAAAAGACGTAAAAATCAACGCTAAATTTTATAAACAAGAAATATTGGGCAAAACTCTGTTGCCACAAGCCAAGAGATTGTTTCAAAATGAACCATGAGTGTTTCAGCAGGATGGCGCACCTGCACACCGAGCTAAAACAGTACAACAGTGGTTACGAACAAATTTGGCCGATTTTATTGACAAAGATTCATGGCCGCCATCGTCTCTCGACTTAAACCCATTGGATTTTTTTGCTTGAGGCTACATGACATCGAAGCTCAATCGTCTAAAGATTACTAAGGTTACCAATTTGAACACATTCAATAAGAAAATCGTGAAGATTTGGAACGAAATTCCCATGAATGAAATGCGTTCCGCGTGCGACTCATTTTCAACACGTCTGAAGCTAATAATCAAACAAAATGGGACAAGAATCAAATCCAAAGGCCAAATCTAAAATTTTATGTTAAATACTAGAAAATAAAATCAAATCAAAATGCCATTCCAAATTGTCGTTTTTTGAGACATATATAAACCCGACAGTTATTCTGGCACACCCTGTAATAAAATTGCGGTTTTTTCCTCACCTTCACATTACATTCACTATGCGTTTGCATAGAAAGTGCGTAAATGTTCCAATAATTTTATTAATTATTCAATTTTATTGACATTTGTCATAAAATTCCTCAAATTCGAATACAAAATTAACTCACGCAGCAAAGGCAATATGCAAATTACGAGTTAATTATCACATTTGTCTCATTAATATCATTTAAGAAAGTCGAATTATTGCGCAGTGCGCACATCGAATTTCATCTCCAGTTAGTAATAATCGAATTTGAAATGACGACTGAAATGCAGAAAAAAATTCCAGACGCAAAAAAAACCGAATAAAAAATATTAATTGTTTGAGAGAGTTTAGAATCGCACACCAAAAAGACTATATAAAACGGCCTTTAATATCAAATGTTCTCATAGTTTGGGTTGAACCATTTTTGAAACTCAAGTCGTCTCCGTTAAGCGTAAAAATGTTTAATCAAAAACTTATAATTTTAATAGTGGTTGGAGCTTTTATCACGCAAATTAGTGAGGCGGCTCCAAAACAAAGTGAAATCGAATGGCCCAAATTCAATGCAAGTGATAGTGACGGAAACGAATTAGTTGAATATCGCATTGGATGGCTACCCAAAGCAAAATATCAAGAAGCATTGGACTTAATGGCCGAATACATGTACAGAGAAAATCCATTTGTTGTGGCATTCGGTATGTGTTGAAGATTTTCAACGAATTTTCCAAATAATCATTAAATTTTATAGATTGGGGCGATGATGCCGATGTTCTTAATAATCATTTATCTGGCTGGAGTGCGCATCTTGACAAGGGCATTTCGGTGGCTTGCTTCAAAAACAGTTCAGACGAACTGATTGGAGTAAATATATTGTATATAGAAGAACTTAATCAAGACTATGTAGATCCTGAAAAACCTGTTACTTATCCAAAAGATGTAAGGCATTTTTAAGTTATATTTGTGAAATTTCGTTCGTGCCCTAGTTTACAACGAAAGTTAAAAAAAAGTAATTTTTATACAAGATAAGGTCTGTTTTTCTACTCCGTATGTAACCGTTTTACATGTATTTTCATTTAGATTCCAAGTAAATTTAGAAATTTGATGAAGCTAACACACGAACTACATACTGTGCAGAGATTCAATGTATTTGAAAAGTATGGTGTCAAACGATATTTGTCAAGTGATGGACTTGTTGTACGACCAGAATATCGACATCGTGGAATTGCGTCACAACTTCTTGGTGTTCGAAAAATGATTTGTGCGAAATACAATTTAAAGTTGACATCGACCGTTTTCACATCAGACGCTTCAAATGCACTAGCTGTCAAGATGGGTTATGAATTAGACACATTTAAAATGTATAGTTTCTTGTAAAAACATTAAGTCAAGTTTATTTTGTCATTAATTATTTGCATTTGTTGTTTTAGGTATGCAGACATTTTTTCAAAACTTCCAGAGCAATATAACGTCAATATGACGGAAAAACCAGAAATGTTTTCACGAAGATCAATTAAATTTTTTAACTGAGTATTTTTGTTAATAAATTTTACAATTTTAATAGCACTGATGAATTGATTTGAATAAAGTTGATGAAATTGATTTGAATAAAGTTGATGAAATTGATTTGAAATTTCGATTTTGAAGTTGCTAAATCTATTACTAAGAGAAGTCTTTAGAGAGAGAGAGAGAGAGAGAGAGAGAGAGAGAGAGAGAGAGAGAGATAGAGAGAGAGATACTAGTACCAAAAGAGTAAAATCAATCAATTTTCTATAAAAGTACATCAAAGTATGCATTAAATAGAGGAAGACTTCCTTTTTTGCTCCAATTTCGAAAAGTGTTGATAGTTTCTCATCGAAGGAACCTAAAAACATAGCCTTCTACTGTTGTTTCGTAACTTCACCACTACGAAAGAATTTTGAATGAACAAATTAAACAAAATATTTAAGAAAACAAATGAAAAGCGGTGTATTGGGCCAATGCGTTAAATTGCTGGTGCTTTTATATTTCGTTGCGAGAAAAAAATTCGGTTTTATTTGAAGAAAAAGTCTAAAAATAAAATCGAAACGAATAGAGCTGAAATTCAGCCATTGAGTGGTGTTTCTTCCTGAATGTGTACATTCCACGTTCATAAATAACCAACTTAAGTGAACATGCGAGAAAAACAAGAATTAAATTCAAAATATCAATTTTTGATTCGGCTTTTTTTCAGAGCTGTTATTGGCACCGGAGAGGTACGGTCACTCAAGCCCGCACTTATTCCATTTCAAGTACCGCCAATGAATACAAGAAAGAGCAACACTTACAAGTACCCGCAACTCCGTTGTCTCTATAACAGCTCTGGTTTTTATTTGAAGTATTCGACCCGATTTCAATGGATTCCTATTATTTTCGTATTTTGTGAAAAGTTTAAAAATAAATTTCCATTTCCTTGAACGATGCTCAACATTTTCAATAAAAAAATATTCATTTTCGAAGTGTTCTTAACGTTTTTCCGATATTCAAATTCAAATGCGACTGCCCGATCCAAAAGTTGACAGATGTGTAAAATGACAACTAAAACGGATTGTCAAACCGAAACATCTGACTGGAAGTGTCAAACTTGTTTAGCATTGTTTATCATATATGCTGTACGTTGTTTTGTTTACAATGAGACCTTCTACGAACAAATAAACGCAGCATCATGATTAGTCATCCTTGGGATGTCTACCTGTTTCGTCTTTAGTTTATTGTCAGAGCGAGAGAACAATTACAAGGTGACATCAAATACACACTAATTCAAATGTATTAATTCTATATTCCATTGCGTCATTTTCAATCGAAGATCGTTGACAATTTCTGTATCTGCTGTGCATTTCAAAGTGATTTTCTGACATTCAACAACTAAAAACTCAGTTCATTGTGGAAGCAAAAGTGTAATATAGTTTCTAAAGAGATTGAAAGTAATACTGAATAATTGATTGAAATAACACAAAAAAATGTCGGATGTATCAAAAGACCCGGAGATTTTCAACTTGGACGTCGACTGCTTCTACGAAATTTTCGAGTTTTTGTCTTTGCATGATTTGACCGCAATTGGACAAACCTGTAAGTTGATGCAACAAGTGGCCGGTCAATATTTCCGTCGAAATTACATAAAAGCTGAAAAGTTCACCAACGACGATGGCATATACACCGTTTCATCGGGAAGTAATCGTGTAAAAATCTCGGGTTTCAATCAATTCATCAACTACACGTCGCATTATCACAATGAAATCGGTCCGTTGCATTACATCGCTGAGCACTATGCTGATTTTTCTTCGATAAACGAGGTCTACTTGGTGTGTTGCGAGATCAACGAAACAACCGTAAAATGTTTGGAGAAAATTTTGCCAAAAATCGAAGTAGTACGTGTGCGACAGTGTTCAGTCAATGGTGACTTTTATGAAAAATTGCTGCGTTTCTGTGGAAATTTACGTGAAATTTATGTGCAAGATGATGTTGGTGATATTGTAAAAGAGCGTACAAATCCATGGCTGCTTCGTGAATACCCATTGTTGGAAACATTTCAATTGACCGCACGAAATTCATTTAAAGTAACCGATTTGACTGGATTTTTCAAGAAGAACCGCAGCATCCGAACATTTTTAACGACATCGGCCTGCCTTTGGAAACATCGAGCGGAATTGATGCAATGTGAAACGAAACTTGACACACTGGAAATTTACGATGGCTATCACATTCAAGCGATTAGTATGCAAATGTTTTGCGATTTATTAAATCAACTTCATGTGCGAGGATTTTATAAACGACTTCATTTGAATTCAACCGGTCCGAATCAAGAGTGTGGCGAAGAGTTTGTCAAGCTAAAAGCACTCCAGTCCATTTCAATCATGCATTTCAGCGAACGATGCGGCATCTCACGATTGGTAAATTTGATTGAACTGACATTATACGATGGATTCAATGCCTTTGATATGGAAATTCTCGCAAAAAATCTCATCAATTTACGACGTCTTTATCTTGATAAAGCAACGGTCGGTGATATTTTACCATTTATACGAAATTCGAAGAAATTGCACAAAATTCAAACGAATTTAAATGACGGTATTCTCGATTTGGAACAAATGAACGCAGAAAGAGCAAAGTTGATTGACTCTTGCAGAGTTGTGATCCACATTCCGGAAAACAGTTTTTTGGACACCAAATGGACGACGAAACATGGCAATATACGGTTAAGCTTTGTTGAAATTAGACGAACCACATCGAATTGATTGATTTTCTCTGCGGAATTTATTGAAATTATCGAATTTATTACCACTTCTCCCACATTTTCTCACATTTTTCTAATTTTTTACAGTATTTGTATGAAATAAAATGGTTTTTATAACTTACAAATCAAGGGCAATTATATTTAATATTGAATTCCATTAAAATATTTCTGCGTCTAAAACAAAATCGATTCACAAGTAATTTGAACATGCTAAAAATGAGTCAATTGCTTGATACGCAATACAAATCAAGGAAATCCCGCATTAATTTAAGGTACCGCTAATAATTACCAAATTAATCCATCGTTACAACGCGTCAGCAACGCGGCATTATTTTGATATGTCGTCTAATCTGACTAAAACATGTGTTAAGTTCAGGGTCATCGAACCGGCTTTTGTTTATAACCATACCTCTCTATAATCTGAAGCAGACACACGCTGAAAATGAGCTATTGCTCTACTGAAGGAAGATAAAGATTGAATTTATATCGATGTCACCGAATTTCGAAAGACGGTAAAAAAAGAATAACGCTAAATCGAATCGGGTCATTGACCATTTATTTAAATATGATTTTTTTTACTATTTTCACGTTAGTCCACAATGAAAAATTTTTTTATCATAAAATGTTAAGCTCAATGTTGAAAATCATTGATTTTCGACCTGTTTTGGACACAACTCAACTTTTGTTGAGCATTTTTTGTACTTACAGGAAAATATTTTGAAACTACAAGGAAAATATTTGCGTATGTAAAAATCTCGGTCTAGGCGAAATGTTCAATTTAATTCCCAAATTTCAACCGAAACAATTTTTAAACAACGTTCCACCCGAAACTTCATCCCACCAATGAGAACCAACATTCAATTTCGGAGTGACATTTTTAGAGTCGCATCTCATTTTTTTAAATCATTGAATAGATTGTGACTAAATTAGCGTTAAAGCGCTCCCTTTCACAACCGCTATTTGTGTACAACGATTATGATATTGTACAGTTCCAAACGTCATGTAGATGCTACAAGTATTCAATGTTTCTAGTCTAGTTCAAATCTGTTCTTTGTTTCAGTTTTCACAAAACACATTTCCAGGCGTACAACAACAAGTTCATTCAAAATAAGCGCAATTATCTCAGCGACGATTATTTTTTTAAGTAATCGCGTTTATATTTCGAAAAGAACAGCAGAACAAGAAGAGTAATAAATACGAAGATGGATGCAGAAGTGAGATAACGTACAATCAGCTGAATCAGTCGAATCACATATGCTATGTATCGCAGTTTGTTTACAATGTGAACGTATGTGTGTGACGAGGAGAAATAGGAGAATATAGTGATTTAACGTCAATTTTGACATAACTATAATTGACATGCCGCGAACATTAGACAATCAAAGCCAACAAATTTAAAAACTGTTTTTTAATCTATTTGAACATATTGTGAAATTCCAATATTTTTCTTTCGAATTAGTCACGATTAGATCGTACTGTCATTCTCAATACGGTAAAAGTTACATAAAGACCCAATAGCAGTTTAAGGCTTGCTCTTCTAGAGCTTGAAGCAAAAAATAAAAAGATCATTCTATCGTTTAAATAAACCGTTTTTTGTGCTTCATACGACAGTTACATATACATTTCTATCATTTTTTAACTGAAAAGCTTGAATTGGTTTGTGGAAAGTGAAAATTACAGTCTTTTAATTTGTTTTTCAAGCTTTTTTAAATTTGTGTTAAAATGGAGGAGTCAAAAAATCAACTCATCGTCTCAGATTTGGTATATAAAAATAAAATCCAACCTCCGGAAATTTTCAAATTAAATAAAGTTTGTTTCGACGCAATCTTCGAGTATCTATCCTTGGACGATATAAACTCCTTCAGTAAAACGTGCAAATCCATGCAAAATGTGACCGGTGAATACTTCAGACAAAACTATGCATCAAAAGGAGCAGTTATTGTAAATTATGAAACGGTCATGCCGTTCTCCGAACACAATCACGGAATTCAAATAGAAAATTTCAACAAATTTATTACACGAATTATGTGTCGTGCAAACGACCCCAACGAACTGGATTATATTGCATCTCACGAAATGGAATCAATCAACTACCTTAGCGTTCACAACATCACTATGGCAAAAGTGGAAAAACTGACGAAAATTTTGCCGAAAATCAAAACATTGGAGCTGAAATACTGTTTGATCGATGCCAATCTGTACGATGTAATGTTGAAATTTTGCAAGAATCTTACCGATCTCACGATACAACAAGGCCATTTAATAAACTGGAGAAATGAATCGAGTACTTTGTTCTTGTGTCAAAAATATCAAAAACATTTGGAACATTTGGGTCTATCGCCAATAATTG